ATAGTTGACTTTTGGCAATTTTGCAAAAATGCCCAACTTCAACAATGCACAACTCCTTAAATTTTAAACTTTTGGAGGTGTTCTTGGACTTTTTATAAATATTGATATGTCCTCTAACCAACCCTTTTGGTCTCATCTCATTTTGATATTCCATGCTCAAGTTATAAGCTTTGGCAAAAAAGGTGTTTTTGTTGACTTTCAAAAATGACCTATAATGTCCAAATTTATAAATTTTTGTGAGTGCATTTTCTGATCTTGGGGTATGAAGATGTATTGTAGGAAATTGCATCCTCTTCAAAATGATCTATGGATGGGTCATTTCTCATAAAGTATGAGAAAGTTAAGCTTGGTCAAAATTGAGTTGACTTTTCCTAAAAAACCCTAATTTAGCAACTTTTGAGTCTTGAGAATTTTGAGCAATCCTTGATGAATCATGATCAACCCTTGATAAAATGATGAAATATCCTTCAAAATGAGAATGTTGATAAAAAATATTGAAGTTTGACTGTATTTGGGTCACAGTTGACTTTTGCCATAGCACAGTCGATTTTTGGACCCTTTGAGCAATTGACTGAGCAAACTTCCTCTACGAGGCTTGAAATTTGACATGGATGACCTTGAGAACATATTAGGACATTAGGGAGAATTTTATGTCATTTAGACACAAGGATATTGATGCAACACAAAACCCTAATTTGGGGTTGACTGCCTTAGGAGATGATTTGTCTGACCCACTCTTGAGCAAACTTGAGCCACTTGGAGATTCTTCTTACAATGTTTTGAGAAATATGAGAGGGTAAATTTTGGGGTGCAACACTATCATACCCAAAATTTGTCCTACCTTTTACTTTTGTCTGGCTTAGACTTCACATTTCATCTACATCATCTTCACTAGTTCCTTTGCATATCATGCTTTTTATTGAATAAAGACACCCGAGGTCCAAGAGTTCAGTGGTTGTGCAATATTAAAGTTTCACAGTTTTTTAAGGTGTATATATTCAATAAAGTCTATTTATTTCTGGTTCTTCTAGTTCTTCAAGCACTGAAGTGTGAATTAGGGTTTGAGAGGTTTTCTCAAGTTACTTCAAGAGCAGTGGTTTTAGTTCTTCAAACTGAGGCTTAGTGGATTAGGGTTTTTGGTTTGAGCTTTTAATGTTCATCCTTTGAATGTCAGGGAAACTAGGATTTTTGCTTCAAGGTCGCATTTAGCTTTATCTCCTTCTACAAGTCAATTGCTTATCAAGAGGTTTAAGGGGTGAAACAAAGGAATTATTCTCGTATGGGTTAAAGTTTTCTTTGAGGAGTTTCTTGAGGGACTAAATTTTGAACTAAGATGGCATCTATCATTTTCAAGGTGGTTTGAATTTTTCGTGAAGATTCAAAATTGAAAGAGAAAGAAAAACATGGATTTGGATTGCAAATTGGAAATACGGGAAATTGGTATTTCATACAATGTCCTTTGGTTCACAAGTTACCAATTCCTTACATCACAAGTTACTATGTTCAAGATTCAAGTCATTTGATTATCTTGCAATTATTTTCTGGGATTCATACCATGATCACTTGAAATCATACAAAGTTGGTTGCAAGCAATTTTTATTCAATTTCATTCATTCAAGTTCCAAACGCCATCATTCAAGTTCAATTTATAGGTTACAATCTTTCATTCCATTACAAATCATTGTATAGAAAATAGCACTACAAATGAAGTATTTCTAAACCTAAAAATTCCTAAGTCCTAAAGTTACTAAAATTCCATTTTTCAAAGCATCAATCTTCATGTTTAAGCCACGGCCTCTTCATCTTTCAACCTCGCTTTGCCTTGCCTTTTCACCTTCCATCAACCCTCACATGAAAAGAAAAACAAACAAGAATTGGTTAGCTCATTGAAATTTAATCAAGAAGTGCCAAGAAATTTCTCTTCTAATCTCATCATTAGGGTTTGTGTTTGGAATCAGAAATTCAAAGGGTGTTTTCAATCATGTGCTAAGCCCAATTCAAAAGTCTCATAAAAATCCGAATTCAAAAGATCAATCATGGGCCATGTTCCAATTGCAAATCAAAAAATGAGTTTTGGTTCACAAAAGGAAAAGAAATTCACAAACAATTTTACTTCAATAACAAAGTCAACAAATAAATATTGCCAACAATTTGCTTTATAGAAAAAACAAAGTCAGAACTGCTATATGTTGCGACTGGTTTTAAATCAGAGCCGTCACTATTAGTTTTTATCCTAGGGAATGGAATCTAACATAAAATCCTAATTCACAGACAGAGGTTCTAGGTTTCGGACTTCTTTAGACGAAAGGAAGGTGTTAGGCACCTTTCATCTACCTTGTTCATAAGGATTTTAGGTTTTAGGTTTAGGTTTAGGGGTAAACAGGGTTTTAAGTTTTTAATAGGGAAACTCGCTACGATTTTTGATCGTATGCCTACGTATCCTCTTATGAGGAATCAGAGTCCCAATTCATAGTTCGTATGAGGTTGGTATTTTTTAGGGGTCACAAACGTACTTCGAATCACTCGCATTTTGACCGGAAGTAGTGATTGCGGAGATTTTGACTAAATGCGTGGTTAGTCAAAATCTGTGTGAAACACTTTTGCAAAAACAATTGATTAGCTTAGTTGATTGCGAAAAATAGTTTGAGATTGGTTAGTATTTTTTAATCGTATTAATTGCAAAAATTCTTGATTAATGCATGATTAAAAAATATTTATAGTAAATAATATAGTAAAATAATATGCATTTTTGATATAAAAATAATTTAAATGATATAATAAATAATATTAATAAAATACTATAGTGAAAAATATTAGTAATAATAATTATGATAATAATAATAATATAAAAGAAAGTAGAATACAAAATATGAATTATAAAAAAAAAAGATAAAAAATGTAATATATATATATGAAATAATAGAAACAAAATAAAATAAATTGATTTGGATCAGGGGGTGTAATTTCTGTTGACAAGTAAAATAAGGGAATGCTGCTAAGTGTTGGTAAGTTGGGCCCAAATATGTTCAGACAGGGGGTGTGTTTTGTTTTATGTTTAGAAATTCAGGCAAGTGGGGAGGTGTTAAACGCGTTGGGCTTAGGCCCATTGCAGCTTTTGGAGGGAGACCGGTTTGATTGTGTAAGACGAGGTGCATGCTAGCTATCGTATGACTTGGTCTGCGGCCGTCAGATTACAATCAAAGGGATAATGATGAGGGAACACGATAAGTGTTGTAGGCGCGGTGCATGCGATTGAGACGGATAACAATTTCTTTGTTTTAACACTTTTATTCATTGTTTGTTTTTGTTACAACAATCACCTTTTGTTCTCTCTCTTCATTCACCCAACCCTTCCCTTCTTCTTCCTACCCTTACTAACCCTAACACCCACCTAAACCGGTGGCGGCTACCACGACCCTACCATCAAAAAACCTAAAACACAAACAATAATAAGGAGCTAAGTATTACCCTTTTCGCGATTGTTCTGACTCTGATTCTTGGACTATTTCGATTTGGGTCTAATCCCTTCTTTCTCTCCTTTTTGCAGATTCTGGTGGCCGATAATGGTGACGGTGATGAGATGTTCGGCGTTGGGGAGGATAGCAACTAGGGTTTCGGATATCAAAACCCCAGTTGCCGGATCGTTCTTCTACAACCCTTTTGGTTCTTCGCGCTACTGTTCGGTATATGCCCTCATATCTTCTTCAAATTTTCTCCCCCAATAATCTTGTTCTCTCTTTTTTTGTAGAATCCTCCCTCCTGCTGTTAATGTATGTTTAGTTATTTATAAAGTGATTTTAGTTCTAGGATTTGTGAGTTTGTTGTTAGAAATTTCATAGATTTAAGAAGATTAGGGATTTGGGATCGTTGTTGATTGATTCTGAAAATATTTGATTAATTTAGTAATAGATTTTATTTACTGTAATTGATTTGATTTGTTGTATAATTTCAGATTTGATTTGTAATGTGAATTTTTATTTTATTTTTATTTAATTTGTTTCTTTCAATTTAGAATTTGATTTAGTGAAATTGATTTTCTGGATTTGATATTAAGGAAGATTAAGATTGGATTTGATTTAGTAATTGTAATTGCTTTGAATTGGAATTGGTATCCATATTTTGTTTTGGAGATTTGATTTAGTTAAAGATTTGATTTCAACAATAATGGTTAATTGGCCAAAACGTGCGCTAATTTTGGTTTGATTTAACATTTGGGCCTTTACCTTGTTATTTTATTATCAGTTCAGTTAAATTAATTTGATTCAGCTACATTGTATTTTTTTACAGCAAAAAAAAAATTCTTTAACATTGTTGGGTTCAATTGACCTCTAACCCAATATTAATTATTTAACTAAAAACTTTTAATAAGTCTTCGAAGTCTTCGATAGAGACAGAAGAATGATAGGAATGATGAATGGTCAAACTTTGATAATAAAGTGTAATCTAACAATATCATATATGTTTGTGTTGAACTAAAATTTGTAACAATATCATATATGTTTGTGTAATTAAAAAATAATTATAATTATAAAAATAAATATTTTTGTTAGTTTGTTTACTATATGTTTATAAAAAAATAACACTTAAAAACAAGAATTCAAAGATACTAACTATATCCAATAAAAATAGTAAATAAATATAGATTATGGATATTCTCACACACTCTCAGCCTAAAATGATCAAAAATGTAGATTTAAATTAAGAAAATTGATATAGTAAAATTGGGTGGGGATGTAAAAAGTAAAGGATAGCACCATATAAGCAAGCAAGTAAAGAGAGTTGTAAAATACTTGTACCATGTACATCCTTCATATTTTTTTTGTCGGTACAACTTGATCCTTCATTTTTTAACATGAAAATGTACAAATCCTATGATAGATAGCAATTTATTATTGTTATAGTTGGACAGTATTAAATTTCCTTAAGGAACTTTTTATTTCAACCAACATATCCTTATCCTTATCAGCATCTCTTGACATCACAAAGCAAACATTGATTGTTTAATCCATGACTTTGTCCAGCATAGAATCTGCAAAATAAAAAACAAAGCAAAAATGTCTGAGCCCAGGTTCGAACTGGGGACCTCTAGTGTGTGAGACTAGCGTGATAACCGACTACACCACCCAGACCTCGTTGCTCATTCAGTTACCTGGACCGCATCTAATCTGGCACTTTCGCTCACACCTTGCCGTAAGCCTCGCTACAAGTGACATAAATTAAAACTAGATGAATAAAAAGCATAGAAGAAGAAAGAGAAATAATAAAGTAGGTTTTGAAGAGTGACAAACAGTCTCTTGAAACGCATGCAGTGGAGCAACCATCTAAGCAATCGGAAGCATCTGGAACAACGCTATCCATTTCAGAAAATACTATAAGAAACAAAACCATCATAGCAACCACTGAATTCTTCTTCATCATTTTCTCACACTTGACACCTATAGATTATAGTAGATCCTTTTGAATGATGAAAATATATAGGTCTCTTTCTAGGTGTTTATTGATTGTTGTTTCGAGAAATGACCATAATGATGAGAGGAAACTACGAAAGTGCCTAATTGGCTACACCTGTGCACCATTAACTATACGTACATGACCATCTATCTACCCTAAGCCGCCTATGTTGAATTGCACATTTAAGGCTTTTATAGGTCCAATACTACGCTTTCTGGGATGACAAGTCATCACAAATGCATAATATCATTTTATTAAAACTATGTCACTTAAATTATTAATTATTTTATAATTCTAATGTATCATTAATAATTTTCTTTTACTAATCTATTCTCTATTATTACTTTTTTATTCTTTCAATTTTCTAAATATTTATTAAATGATATTTTTGTAAAATTATATTAAAATATTTTTTCATTTTTCTATAAAATAATAATTTTATTTCTTAATTCGTATGAAACAAAATGTCTTATAATTTAAAACGAAAGAAGTGATATTATAATATGCGATTATATTCGCCGGATAGACTCACTCATTATTTGAGGTAACAATTGCATGAGTCATTTTATTATATGTACGTAGATGTATGAAAATAAATGTCGATTCCTATAAGAGATGATTTATATGATAAATCAATCACTAAGATTAAATTAATTGTAAATTCTCTCAAAATAAATTGTCACTGACAAATTTTGTGTATTGACATAGAAATTTTAAGATTAAACTCAAACATGATAAAAAGTTATATATCTTAGATAAACGTGTCCTTGAAGAGGAGCCTTTTAATTCTACTCTTAAAATTGAAAGAGACACTTATAAGAAGCATATTGCTGATGCCATCGAAATTATGTCTCATGTTAGTTACCATGAACTTTGAATTGCAAAACTGACATGAGAGCATGATAGTGTTTGATATGATCGAACACCTAAAGATTATTTATCAACAGTAGACTAGGCATGCGAGATTTGAATTTTCAAAAGTTCGTTTCAAAGCAAGCTAGCTAAGGCAGCCCCTATAGGTCCTCATGTATTCAAGATGATTGGGTATGTGGAGAATCTTGAAAGGTTGAGTTTTTCCTCTGAAAATGGCTTGAGATTTATTTGATCATGTTGTTACCTAAGAGCTTCAGTTAGTTTCTCTTTAATTTTAATATGAATGAAATAGACACAACTTTGTTAGAGTTGTTAGGCGTGTTGGAAAGCTACCTCACAAAAAAAGGATAGGAACTAAAGTGATTCACAAATGAACAAGTATACAAACAAATTAGTGGCATAAAAATTGTAAAAAGTATAAGTATCATGAATATGCTAGAGTATAGAAAGCGATAAATACATAACTCGAACATGTACAAAATTTTACCAAAATTATTACCACGCATTCGCAAGTTGAAACACTCAAACTTGGAAAATCACCAAAAGCGACTTCAAGCTATCAAACCAAAATTTGAGTCAAAACAACAACAAAAGAATTGATTATACTAATATTTTTATTATTACAAGACCTAGGTGGAAGTGCGAAAAAGGAAACTCAAGCGAAAATTTAAAAAGAATTCATTGGCTCTGCATAGAGGGCACGTTAAGCGGCCAAAACCGCGCTTAGCGCGCTACACCAGTTACAGGAAAAACAAGAACAGCAACAGCATTGCAGTCTCTACATTCACCTACACAAACTCAGCTACACATGTACAATATTTATAACATACAAACACACTTCCACAAGCTAAACACGACAAGCTTACGGAAAAACACAAATTAATATAACAAAACAAACAGGTGAAAGTGAATTAACATGTTGAAAAGTGAAAATTTGAGAATTTAAAACAAGTTCAATTTTAACTTGTTAAAACATAAGTCAACACTTACATAAACGAATACAAACAAAACATATTTGTTTTATGTCGTAAGTTCGACGCCTTTATTGTGCGAGCTAGTAACCTCCTCTCGGCATGCCATGATATTGTTACACCGCGCAAACCTAAAGAAAGTGTCATAACATCCATACAACAAACGTTACAAAAACGAGACAATTCACAAGAATACGTGAAAACTAAGAAAAACACATATATGCACAAGTGTGGAAAATAAACACAAAACATGTACAAGTAAGAATAGTCAAGTTTTATGTACAAATTCTATACAACATATACATTAATTACAAAACACAAAAACAAAAGAATTATCGCAATGCAAAAACAATAAACACAATTCCCCGGCAACGGCGCCATTTTGTTGTTGCGGTAAAGCGGTAAGCAAAAAGTAAGTTATTCATTTACCGGGTGATATAGGTTATATCGTATCGTATCCTCAGAGATTGGTTATTGATTCACCATTTGACAATTCTATCGTTAATGAGTTTGGGGATAAATGGGTTGAAAGTAAAAGTATCAATAGAAAATAAATGTATAAAAAAGAGAGAAAGAAAAAAAGAGGAATAACTTATCAAGCATGCATATATACTACTTCTCACAAACTTAAACATATCGACCTATTATACTCAACCTACAATATTTATCAATGTCATCACGTGTCACACACAACCTAAGTCATTTCTAACCCAAATTGAGACGCCGACTGCATCACCTCGGTAGTGATCTCTCAACCACCTCAACAACACAGAAGTCAATTGTGCTCACCTGCGTCGATGATCTCTCAGAGCGACACAAACAATATAGAGGCATTAATCTGAGACACTCTAAGTGAATAACAATGCTAAATCTATCTCTAGAATTCAGACACCATCAGATGATCATCCTAGATAGGAATCCAAGTAGTATATGTCTATAACAACTCAAATCCCTAGCACAGAGCAAAAATCTAGGATAACAATCGACAAAGATTTGTAAAGCAAGTTTTATATAACGCCAAGGGCGACAAATATACATGAGATCAAAGTAAATACACATACAAATCCAACCAATAGAGAGTACACAAAGAAAAAGAGAAATGAACCGCAAATCTTCCGGTTTGTCAGCGTCGATCAAAGAGTAATCCACCCTGGATCATCCGTATGCAAGCTCCATAAATCGTTATCTAAGCTAATCCTAACAAAATTAAAGGTTGATGGATTTGGGAGCAAAAACTTCCCCAAAACTATAACCTAAAAATGAACTAAATTTGTTTTTATAAAAATCATCTCAGCAGACCGCGCTAAGCGGGCCTGGCGCGCTAAGCGCGACTTCCTTATTTTGCATACTAAACTGCCTTAAATCGCGCTAAGCGCACTATCTGCGCTAAGCGAGCTTCAAAATATTGGTTCTGCCAAATTATCAAAACGCAAGCAGCGCGCTACAAAATACGCTGAGCACACTTGAGCTTAGCGGTTTTTGGGTGTTAAGCGGGCTCTCCTGAACAGAACGTCCCAAAACTGGTCTTTTATTCTGAAAACGCGCATCCGGAGCCGTTCCTTCGACACCTTATTCCTCAATGCTCTAAAATGAAACAAATACCTACAAAATAAATGGAAAGACATCAAACGGTACACTATATACACAAAAACACAAATAAACACAAACTAAACGTATTTACACAAAAGTCGGGTTTTTTCAACGATATTAACAACAAAAATTCGATAAGTGCAACAAAAAATATATACAAAAATAGCTACAATTTGCACTTATCAAACTCTCCCCAACTTGAACTTGTTTGTTCTCAAACAAAGCCAAACAACTCAAAGAACCAAAAGTAATCAACCAAAATCTCCTGAATCAACAAGTTTTGGAAACGGAAAACAAATACAATGGTTCAAATGAAAAATGGTACACACGAAGAAACATACTTACCACCAAACTACGATGATAACATAAACACGAAACGAATGTTAAATACAAAGAACATGCCAAACATTTTAAAACAACACTAGTTCACAAATGAATCACACCTAGCAAAAACAATCATCGGTAGATGAAAAATACACAAAATAAGGTATTTTCACTCATCCGCAATCTTGCAAACAAAAGACTAAATTATGCATTCATCCAAAAACTCATATTGAAAATACATAGGCAAGAATCTCAAGGGCTTTTCAAGGTTGTAATATGGCTTAGTTAACAAACAAGGGATAAGTCTTAAAGCTAATCGAAAGAAAAGCTTGCCTAAACCTAAGGGAGTAATTACTTCCACAATGTTTCAAACAATAGAATTTGAATCAAACTTCTTCTTTACCATACATTTTAACCCAACACACATCACTTATTAGCACAATATTATTTCAAACTCTTTTTTTTTTCTTTTTCAAAAAAATTTCAATTTTGTTCTTTCTTTTTCTTTCTTTCTTTTTCACTTTTTTTCATTCTTTTTCTTTTCACAACCTCATAGCAATTACAACATAAGCACATAAACATTCCTTTCCCCAACTTGAATTCAACCATCATCATAATGTGAATACTCCCTACTTTCTAAGACAAGGTAAAAATTCAAACTACAACTAATAGTTAAAGGTTCAAGAAAACAAAGAATCAATGTCCATACAAAAACGAACCAAACACTCATAGACAATCATTTAGCAAAAACAACAAGGATATCGATAAAAAAAAGGTCAAAAGGGGATACTAATGATCAGACACTCACAATGTGAATTGACTATTTGGCCAAGGTAGTTGCGCTCAAAATGAAATAAAAAATGCCTTGATTATGTTCAAGCTTTCATACAATCAACACAAACAAAAGATTAAGCATAATAAAATCCAGATAAAACAAGAGTTGTTGTCTCCAGCATATGTGAACAATGGAAAGCAACCTCACAAAAAAGGATAGCAACTAAAGTGATTCACAAATGAACAAGTATACAAAAGAATGAATGGAATAAAAATTATAAAAAGGCTAAGTATCATGAATATGCTAAAGTATAGAAAGCGATAAACACATACCTCGAACGTGTACACAACTTTAACAAAATCATTACCACGCATTCGCAAGTTGAAACACTCAAACTTGGAAAATCACCAAAAGTGACTTCAAGCTATCGAACC